GCAGACTGAGGGCTCCACACTGATGGATCGGGAACTGCGCACTGGCACGAACAGTTCCCACGTGGATCAGAATTAAGGGCTGGGGGGGTTTCCTGCTCAAAACCCTGGGAACTGTGATCTGAAAGGCTAGGGGCGTGGCTCTGGGCCAAGCCCTCTGCCGACTCAACCGGGCTCCAGATTGCAGGTTGATTCCATCAACCTGCCCTTCCCTTCATGGGAAAGCCAATTATATCAGGAGCTCAGGGCGAAGAGAACAGAGCTCAGAACTGAGAGGAACTTACCCAGGGTCCTCAGAAACACTGAGAAAGACGGAGAACTCAGAGGGGTTCACAGGTCCTGGGCCTTGTTTCTCATTGTCCCCGAATACCATCAGAAGTTCACTTTGGATCCCACCACTGCCATCAAATCTGTTAAAAAAACAAAATTCAACCAAGTAAACCGGAAGATCTCATTGGCCTTATTCAATGACTCATGAATCAGGCAGCACCCCGTCTAGCAAGTAGAAAGGAGCCCCCTGATTAAACTATTTTAAAAGTACTTTAAAAATAAATAAATAAGGGTGCCTGGGTGGCTCAGTTGGTTGGGCGACTGCCTTCAGCTCAGGTCCTGATCCTGGAGTCCCGGGATCGAGTCCCGCATCGGGCTCCCTGCTCGGCAAGGGAGTCTGCTTCGCCCTCTGACCCTCCCCCCTCTCATGTGCTCTCTCTCTCTCTCATTCTCTCTCTCTCAAATAAATAAATAAAATCTTAAAAAAAAATTAAATAAATAAATAAATAAAAAGTACTTTTTAAATTGTGTTTTACTTAGTAACGGTACAAAAGCCACTGTTTTTGCTAGGGAGAACAATATGATTATTTAAATATACTTCTTTCTCTTTAAGAAAACATGATTTGTGACTATGATACTGCAGTACAAAATCTGGGGCTAGTTCAGTTTATTGCAATACTTGTCCTCTTTTTTTCTTTTTTTAAGTTTTATTTATTTAAGTCATCTCTACACACAAAGTGGGGCTGGAACTCAGGACCCCGAGATCAAGAGTTGCATGCTATACCGACTGAGCCAGCCAGGTGCCCCATACTCATCTTCTTTTAATGTTTTTTTCCACTGAGATATAATTCACATACCATAAAATTTGCCCCATTTAAAGTATACAATTTAGTTGTTTTTAGGACATTCACAAAGTGATGCAACCATCACCACTATGTAATTTGAGGATATTTTCATCGCCTCTGAAAAACCTCATACTTATTAGCAGTCACTCCCCACACCCTCCTTCCCCAGCCCCTGGCAACCACTAATCTATCTTCCAGCTCAGTGGATTTGCCGATTCTGGACATCTCACGAAAATGGAATCATGCGCTATGTGGCTTTTTGTGCCTGGCTTCTTTCACTTGGCATAATGTTTTCAAGGTCCATCAACGTTGTATCACGTATCAGTACTATATTCCTTTTCACGGCCAGATAATATTCTACTGCATGGATAGCCCACCTTTTCTTGATCTCTTCAGTTGCTGGCTGTTTGACTTGTTTCTCCCTTCTTGGCTGTTAGGAATAACGTTGCTATGAACATTTGTGTACAGGCTTTTGTGTGGACATTTGTTTTCATTCCTCCTGTATAGTATATGCCTAAGCTTGGAATTGCTGGGTCATATGCTAACTTTGTGTTGATTCATTCGAAGACTATATTCTGAAGTGGCTGCGCCATTTTACAATCCTGCCAGCAGTGTTGTAGGGGTTCCAATGTCTCCATAGCCCCACCAACACTTGTGACTGCCCATCTTTTATTAGAGTCATCTTCATGCGTGTGAATGGTAGCTCACTGTAGTTTTGACTTCCGTTTCCCCAGTCACTAATGTTGTTGAGCATCTCTTAATGTTCCTGTTGGTCTTCTGCCTATCTTCTTTGGAGAACTGTCTCTTCAAATCCATTGTCCATGTTTACAATGAGTTATTTATCTTTTATTGTTGAGTAATAAGTGTTTTTATATATTCTGGACACTAGACCCTTATCACATATATGATTTTACAAAAAAATTTTTTTTTCCATCCTGTGGGTTATCCTTTTCACTTTCTGATAATGGTCTTTGAAGCACAAAAGATTATTTTGAGGAAGTCAGTTTATCTGTTATTTTTTGGAGGTTGCTTGTACTTTGGGTATCATATCTAATAAACCATTGCCTAATCCAAGGTCATGAAGCTTGACATCTGTGTTTTCTTCAAAGAGTTTTATAGTTTTAGTTCTTATGTTTAGGTCTTTGATCCATTTTGCATTAATCTTTGTACACGGCCTGTTGTAGGAGTTCAACTTCATTCTTTGAATGTGAATAGTCAGTTATTCCAGCATATTTGTGGGAAATATTATTCCTGTCCCTGTTGAATTATGATGGTACTTTCTCAATTCTATTCCATTGATCTGTACGTCCCAGTACTTGTTTTTTGTTTTTGTTTTGAAAGAGAGAGAGAGAAAGTGCACATGCGGTGGGGAGAGAGACAGAGGGAGAGAGAGAGAGAATCTGAAGCAGGCTCTATGCCCAGCTTGGAACCCAACATGGGCTTGATCTCATGACCCTGAGATCATGATCTGAGCTGAAATCAAGAATCTGAGGCTTAACCTACTGAGCTACACAGGCGCCCCCCCATTACTTGGTTTTTAATGTATGTCACAGCTGAAAAGATAACTCACAACGATTCTTGGATCAAATGGAAAAAAAATGCATCATTGTATCCGTTTACTAAGCATTTCCTATCACATGAACCAATTACCCAAATGTTTGGTTAAAGATCTAGCTAGTGAGTTTCCATCTTTTCTGATGTCTATGAAGTGATCTTGCAAACCAATAGTAAGGTATTGCATTTTTTTCCTTTTTAATACATAGGTACAAAACTCATTAAAACTCTTAATTTGGAAAAATTTTTAAACAGGTTAACAAATTATTTTTCTATGTGTTCAGAAGTACAACTATGAGAGTTTTTAGGAAGTTGTTATTACACTTTTGTAATTTTAGCAGCAAAAACTGCAGGATAACAAAAACATTTTGAAAGATTTATTTACAAAATGATCTTTCCATAGCTCATGTTTGTTACCTTAAGGAGGACTTAATTTCTTTCTTAAAAGCTGTACTAGGAAGTGTGAGATAAGTCAGCTCTTTAATTCTATTGTTATTCACTTGTGATTACACTACTAGTATCCTCTTCAACCTATGTATGGTTTCTTTGCAGCAAATATTTTTAAGCTACATGTCTATATTGGGAGAGTATGTTAATTAAGACTTAATAATATAATTTGTTAATTTTTTTTTTATGTCATTAGTTACTTCATTTACCTTTCTTTCTTTCTACATTTTTAGGGGTAATTCTAGTATTTTTCTCTTGGAACTTCTAAGTTGGATGATATTCCTTTTTAAGCTTTTTTTCACCTAATGTGTTTAAATTTGCCTCTAAGAGATGTGTTACCTGCTTTTGGATATTATTGTTATTTTTTAAGAGTTTATTTATTTATTTGAGAGAGAGAGATTGCAAGAGATAGAGCACGAACAGCAGGGAGAGGGAGAAACAGGCTTCCCGCTGAGCAGGGAGCCCAACATGGGGCTCAATCCCAGGACCCTGGGATCATGACCTGAGCTGAAGGCAGACACTTAACGACAGAGCCACCCAGGCACCCCTGCATACTACTGATTCTTGAACTTCATTGAGGCAGATTCTATAGCTTGATACTTGGTGGACTTTTGTAAATGTTTGCCCAGAGTTAGCCAAACTGTAAAGTTTGAGGGTGCAGTCTCTGCACAAGATTGCCCCCATATTCTTCTCAGCTTGCTTTCTCCTGCAGCCCATTTCCTGACCCTCCCTAAAGCCAGCTTTAACATTGAAAGGAATAGTCCCCAAGCTGGCCCTCATTTCTGACACCCACTACAACTTCAGGCAGTTCCCCAAACCGGGCTCAGATTAATAATTTGCCAGAAGGACTCACAGAACTTACTGAAAGCTCTATGGTTATGTTTTTTCTACAAGGAAAGGAGACAGATTAAAATCAGCCAAAGGAATAGACACATAGGACAGAGTTTGGGGCATGGCAAATGCAAAGCTTTCCTTGTCCTCTCCCATGGGGTCAGGATGTGTTACCCTCCTGGCAATGATGTGGGACAATTCCCAGGGGGCTTTGCCAACCAGAGAAGCTCATGTGAGCCTGTGTTCAGAGTTGTCATCGTTGTTATTGTTTTTAATTTTTAAAAAGTTGAAGATGTACAATGCATTTGATTTATTAAGTGTTCAGAATTCTTTTTTTTTTTTTTAAGATTTTATTTTTTATTTGCAAGAGAGACAATGAGAGACAGAGAGCAAGGAGGGTCAGAGGGAGAAGCAGACCCCCTGCTGAGCAGGGACCCCCCCCCCCGCCCCCGATGCGGGACTCGATCCCGGGACTCCAGGATCATGACCTGAGCCGAAGGCAGCCGCTTAACCAACTGAGCCACCCAGGCGCCCTAAGTGTTCAGAATTCTTATTGGGGCTTCTTTATGTGGACATGACGGATTGATTGATGATTGCCCACGTGGTTGAACGTGGTATTCAGGTGGACCTATGCTGTGTGACCCAAAGCCCTCATTCTACAGGCTCTGGGAAACAACAGGAGTAAAGTTTAGGAGTTAAGTCTTATTTCTGAAAACCTCTGTTTAGCCAACTGAATCCAGCCCAAGTTTCCCTGGCTCGGGTCCCATTTTCCCCAGTGGGTAAAAGGTCTCTTGAATTCTTAACTACTCTCAGTTGGAGAGCAGCACTCTCTTTTGTAGGCCTGATCAATGAGGAAACTGGATCTTGGTCAGGAAAGCCAGTCCCTGTCAAATTCTTCTCAGCTTGCTTTCTCCTGCAGCCCATTTCCTGACCCTCCCTTTGAGTGATCCCCACCCCCTCTGTTTCATAAAACTTCGCTGCTGGGTTAGAGACTTATCATAGGCTGTTTTTCTTCTTCTCTGTGAGCTCCTACCTTATTCATCTTTCCATCCCTAGGACAACCCAGTGCGGAGTAGTAACTACTGTATTGAATGGACTGGAATTTTGAAACAGAAGACTGGCAGGAATAAGAAAAAGACACAGTCAGTACAAATTTCATCTAGTCCCAATTGCTGGTGTTTCTTTAAGAATTTAAGCTCAGGGAGGAGGGGAAAGATGGCGGAGGAGTAGGGGACCCTATTTCAACTGGTCCCCGGAATTGAGCTGGATAACTACCAGACCACTCTGAGCACCCGCGAAACCAGCCTGAGATGTAAGAAGATCTGGATCTCTACAAACAGAATATCGCAGGCAGTTGGTTTGTTTTGTTTGTTTGTTTGTTTGTTTGTTTGTTTTAAAGAATGAGAGAGAGAGCACATGAGAGGGGATGAGGGCCAGAGGGAGAAGCAGACTCCCCGCTGAGCAGGGAGCCCGATGTGGGACTCGATCCTGGGACTCCAGAATAACGCCCCGAGCCGAAGGCAGTTGCTTAACAAACTGAGCCACCCAGGTGCCCAAGGGAGTTGGTTTTGAGGTACGAATTGGAGAGCCGTGATCCTGCGGGCAGATATCGGAGGATAAACGGCAGCGGGAGGGTGCCTGGCCCTGGGGATCCTACACCGCCGGTGAGTGACAGCCTCACGCGCTGCGGACTGAGCACAGACTCGCAGACCGGTAGCGTCGGGAAAGGACTTTAGGGCAGCCCCCGGGGTGGAGGACCAGACCGGCGGGGTCCGCGCACGCGAACTGCAGCCTCCGAGCCGGAAACCGGTGCGCCAGGGTCCTGCCGGTGAACTGCAACCCCCGGGGGTGGAAACCCCAAGTGGCGGAGTCACGCGCGAATTGGGAGCGGCTGGCGGTTTTAGAAGCACAAAGGGCAGAGACCTGCCCCGACCTGGAGGCAGGACTGGGAGCGCTGTGGAGGGACGCACAACCCAGGACACTGCAGTTTATAGCAGCACGGACAGAAACGGAGACAGCGTGGCCTGCAGAGTCACTGAAGAACAGACTGAGGTCTCTCTGCTCTGCGGCAGAGGGCAGGAAACGGTCTCTTCTGCTCTGACTCGTGGAAGAGACGCGGAAAGCCGCCAGGGAAAGGCGTCAGAGAACAAAAGCCCCAAAGACTGATTCCCACTGAGCCCATCCCCCGCCACAGGGGCGCAGAGCAACTCGGCCCAAACAGGGTTGCCTGAGTAACAGCCCAGCAGGCCCCACCTGCAGAAGACAGGCTGGGAAAACAAGAGGCCAGCAACCTAAGGTCCCAAGAAAACAGGTGCATCTTGCTTGGGTTCTGGTCAATAATTTGGACTCTATACATTCCCTCAAACACCCATCAACAGAATGACTAGGAGGAGGAGCCCCCAAAACAGAAAAGACTCAGAGATTATGACTTATGCTGCAGATTTACAAATGGATGCAGATATAACCAAGATTTCGGAGATGGAACTCAGGCTAGCAATTGTGAAGACAATGGCTAGAATGGAGAAATCAATTAATGGCAACATAGAGTCTCTAAGGGCAGAAATAAAAGGGGAATTGGCAGAACTTAAAAATGCTATCAATGAGATCCAATCCAATCTAGATAATCTAACAGCTAGGGTAACTGAGACAGAAGAGAGAATAAGCGATCTGGAAGATAGTATAATAGATAAAAAGGGAAAAGAGGAGGCCAGGGAAAAACAACTCAGAATCCATGAAAATAGAATCAGAGAAATAAGTGACACCATGAGGCATTCCAGTGTCAGAATAATTGGAATCCTAGAGGGAGTGGAGAGAGAGAGAGGGCTAGAAGATGTATTTGAGCAAATTGTAGCTGAGAACTTCCCTAATCTGGGGAATGAAACAAACATTCGAGTCCTAGAGGCAGAGAGGACCCCTCCTAAGATCAAGGAAAACAGGCCAACACCCCGGCATGTAATAGTAAAACTTGCAAATCTTAGAACCAAGGAAACCATCTTAAGGGCAGTTAGGGGGAAGAGATTCCTTACGTACAGAGGGAGGAACATCAGAATAACGTCAGACCTATCCACAGAGACCTGGCAAGCCAGAAAGGCCTGGCAAGACATATTCAGAGTACTAAATGAGAAGAACATGCAGCCAAGAATACTTTATCTGGCAAGGCTTTCATTTAGAATGGATGGAGAGATGCAGAGCTTCCACGACGGGCAGAAGTTGAAAGAATATGTGACCACTAAGCCGGCCCTGCAAGAAATATTAAGGGGGGTTCTATAAAAGGAGAAAGACCCCAAGAGTGATCTACAACAGAAATTTACAGGGACAATCTATAAAAACAACGTCTTCACAGGCAACATGATGACAATTCATTCATATCTTTCAATAATCACTGTCAACGTGAATGGCCTAAACGCTCCCATAAAACGGCACAGGGTTGCAGATTGGATAAAAAGACAGGACCCATGCATATGCTGTCTACAAGAGACTCATTTTGAACCTAAGGATACATCCAGACTGAAAGTGAAGGGATAGAGATCTATCTTCCATGCCAGCGGACCTCAAAAGAAAGCTGGGGTAGCAATTCTTATATCAGACAAATTAGATTTTAAACTAAAGTCTGTAATAAGAGACACAGAAGGACACTATATCATTCTTAAAGGGTCTATCCAACAAGAAGATCTAACAATTGTAAATATCTATGCCCCCAACATGGGAGCAGCCATATACATAAGCCAACTTTTAACCAAAATAAAGAGTCATATTGATAATAATACGTTAATTGTAGGAGACCTCAATACTCCACTCTCAGCAATGGGCAGATCATCTAAGCAGAAAATCAACAAGGGAGCAAGAGCTTTGAATGATACATTGGACCAGATGGACCTCATAGATATTTACAGAACATTCCACCCTAAAACAACAGAATACTCATTCTTCTCGAGCGCACATGGAACTTTCTCCAGAATAGACCATATACTGGGTCACAAATCAGGTCTCAACCGATACCAAAAGATTGAGATGATTCCCTGCATATTCTCAGACCACAATGCTCTAAAACTGGAACTCAATCACAAGAAAAAATTTGGCAGAAATTCAAACACTTGGAAGCTAAAGACCACTCTGCTCAAGAATGTTTGGGTCAACCAAGAAATCAAAGAAGAACTTAAACAATTCATGGAAATCAATGAGAACGAAAACACATCGGTCCAAAACCTATGGGATACTGCAAAGGTGGTCCTAAGGGGGAAATACATAGCCATCCAAGCCTCACTCAAAAAAATAGAAAAATCCCGAATTCACCAACTAACTCTACACCTTAAAGAACTAGAGAAAAAGCAACAAACGACGCCTAAGCCACGCATTAGAAGAGAAATAATTAAAATTAGAGCAGAAATCAATGAATTAGAAACCAGAAACACAGTAGATCAGATCAACGAAACTAGAAGTTGGTTCTTTGAAAGAATTAATATATTGGTAAACCACTGGCCAGACTTATCCAAAAGGAGAGAAAGGACCCAAATTAATAAAATTATGAATGAAAGGGGAGAGATCATGACTAACACCAAGGAAATAGAAACAATTATTAGAAATTATTATCAACAACTATATGCCAATAAACTGAGCAATCTGGATGAAATGGAGGCCTTCCTGGAAACCTATAAGCTGCCAAGACTGAAACAGGAAGAAATTGACAACCTGAATAGGCCAATAACCGGTAACGAGATTGAAGCAGTGATCAAAAACCTCCCAAAAAACAAGAGTCCAGGGCCTGATGGATTCCCTGAGGAATTCTACCAAACATTCAAAGAAGAAATAATACCTATTCTACTGAAGCTGTTTCAAAAAATAGAAACAGAAGGAAAACTTCCAAACTCATTCTATGAGGCCAGCATTACCTTAATCCCCAAACCAGGCAAAGACCCCATCAAAAAGGAGAATTTCAGACCGATATCCCTGATGAATATGGATTCCAAAATCCTCAACAAAATCCTAGCTAATAGGATCCAACAATACATTAAAAGGATCATCCACCACGACCAAGTGGGATTTATCCCCGGGATGCAAGGGTGGTTCAACATTCGCAAATCAATCAATGTGATAGAACACATTAATAAGAGGAGGGAGAAGAACCATATGGTCCTCTCAATTGATGCAGAAAAAGCATTTGACAAAATACAACATCCTTTCCTGATTAAAACTCTCCAGAGTATAGGGATAGAGGGAACATTCCTCAAGCTCATAAAATCCATCTATGAAAAACCCACAGAGAATATCATCCTCAATGGGGAAAAGCTGAGAGCCTTTCCCTTAAGATCAGGAACACGTCAAGGGTGCCCACTCTCACCACTGTTGTTCAACATAGTACTAGAAGTCCTAGCAACAGCAATCAGACAACAAAAAGAAATAAAAGGTATTCAAATTGGCAAAGAAGAAGTCAAACTCTCTTTTCGCAGACGACATGATACTTTATATGGAAAACCCAAAAGACTCCACCCCCAAATTACTAGAACTCATCCAGCAATTCAGTAATGTGGCAGGATACAAAATCAATGCACAGAAATTAGTTGCTTTCTTATACACTAACAACGCAACTGTAGAAAGAGAAATTACAGAAACGATTCCATTTACAATAGCACCAAAAACCATAAGATACCTCAGAATAAACCTAACCAAAGAGGTAAAGGATCTATACTCTAGGAACTACAAAACACTCATGAAAGAAATTGAAGAAGACACAAAAAGATGGAAAAATATTCCATGCTCATGGATCGGAAGAATAAACATTGTTAAAATGTCTATGCTACCCAGAGCTATCTATACCTTCAATGCCATCCCGATCAAAATTCCAATGACATTTTTCAAAGTGCTGGAACAAACAATCCTAAAATTTGTATGGAATCAGAAAAGACCCCGAATCGCCAAGGAGATGTTGAAAAAGAAAAACAAAGCTGGGGGCATCACGTTGCCCGATTTCAAGCTATATTACAAATCAGTGATCACCAAGACATCATGGTACTGGCACAAAAACACACATACAGATCAATGGAACAGAATAGAGAACCCAGATATGGACCCTCAACTCTATGGTCAAATAATCTTTGACAAAGCAGGAAAAAACATGCAATGGAAAAAAGACAGTCTCTTCAATAAATGGTGCTGGGAAAATTGGACAGCCACATGCAGAAGAATGAAACTCGACCATTCTCTAACACCATTCACAAAGATAAACTCAAAGTGGATGAAAGACCTCAATGTGAGACAGGAATCCATCAAAATCCTCAGAGGCAGTAACCTCTTTGACATCGCCCACAGCAACTTCTTTCAAGATACATCTCCAAAAGCTAGTGAAACAAAAGCAAAAATGAACTTTTGGGACTTCATCAAGATAAAAAGCTTCTGCACAGCAAAGGAAACAGTCAACAAAACAAAGAGGCAACCCACAGAATGGGAGAAGATATTTGCAAATGACACTACAGATAAAGGGCTGGTATCCAAAATCTATAAAGAACTTCTCAAACTCAACACCCAAAAAACAAATAATCAAGTCAAAAAGCGGGCAGAAGAGATGAACAGACACTTCTCTGAAGAAGACATACAAATGGCTAACAGACACATGAAAAAATGTTCATCATCATTAGCCATCAGGGAAATCCAAATCAAAACCACACTGAGATACCACCTTACACCAGTTAGAATGGCCAAAATGGACAGGGAAAGAAACAACAAATGTTGGAGAGGTTGTGGAGAAAGGGGAACCCTCTTACACTGTTGGTGGGAATGCAAGTTGGTACAGCCACTTTGGAAAACAGTGTGGAAGTTCCTCAAAAATTTAAAAATAGAGCTACCCTATGACCCAGCAATTGCACTACTGGGTATTTACACCAAGGACACAGATGTAGTGAAAAGAAGGGCCATATGCACCCCAATGTTCATAGCAGCAATGTCCGCAATAGCCAAACTGTGGAAAGAGCCGAGATGCCCTTCAACAGATGAATGGATAAAGAAGATGTGGTCCATATATACAATGGAAGATTACTCGCCATCAGAAAGGATGAATACCCAACTTTTACATCAACATGGATGGGACTGGAGGAGATTATACTAAGCGAAATAAGTCAAGCAGAGAAAGTCAATTATCATATGGTTTCAATTATTTGTGGAACATAAGGAATAATATGGAGGACATTAGGAGAAGGAAGGGAAAAATGGGTGGGGAATTGGAGGGAGAGATGAACCATGAGAGACTATGGACCTGAGAAACAAACAGGGTTCTAGAGGGGAGGGGGGAGGGGGGATTGGTTAGTCCAGTGATGGGTATTAAGGAGGGCACGTACTTCATGGAGCACTGGGTGTTATACGAAAACAATGGATCGTGGATCACTACATCAAAAACTAATGCTGTATTGTATGGTGACTAACATAATATAATAAAATTAAAAACTACAAAAAAAAAAAGAATTTAAGCTCAGGGTGCCTGGCTGGCTCAGTCAGTGAAGCATGAGACTCTTGACCTCGGGGCTGTGAGTTCGAGCCCCGAGATTACTTAAAAATAAAATCTTAAAAAAAAAAGAAAGAAAGAAATTAAAAAAGAACTTAAAGAATTTAGGTTCCAAGATAACATAGGGGGATTATCTTTAAATGTGTGACACAGTTTACAGAAATATTTTGGAAGAGGTAGCCAATGGATTGCGCAAATTCCTGAGGCTCATTCATAATTTCTGCAATCCATGTCCTTTTTAAAAAAAAAAAATTATTTATTTATTTGAGAGATTGAGAGAGAGACCACACACGAGCAGGGGGAGGCAGAGGGGCAGAGGGAGAAGCAGGCTTCCTGCTGAGCAGGGAGTGCAATGCGGGACTCGATCCCAGGACCCTGAGGTCATGAACTGAGCCAAAGGCAGATGCTTAACCAGCTGAGCCACCCCAGAGCCCCTTGTTTAGGAATTTAGAAGGTACTGATTAAATAGTGTCTGACTACATTTTCATTTTGAACATTTTTTACTAATATAGTTGATTCTTAAATTTGCACAAAGACAGTGACATAGGATTTCACTTGCATGCAGTGTTCTCTAAAGGGAAACAGAAGCATGGGCCCCACTGTGGTTAGAAAAACTCCCAAGAACTTCTGTATTCGAAGGGCCTGACTTTAAGCTTTCAACTGGAAAGGCATCCATTTCAAAGAAATCCACTGCAAGTAGTAAGACGCAACTACTACTAAAACAGCTAGATAAGGAACGGTGTCGCCCCACCTATGAAGTTCCCCTTCGAGAAGGCCCCTGGGACCTAGAGAGCTGAGCACTTGAGTGACTCATCTTCTCCCTTCCTACACCCAAATTTCTGCTCTAATGCTTTAAATTAGCGGAGAGAGTAAACTTGCGAAGTTTTAGGCACCCCACCCTCAAATCCTAATAAAAAGAGCCCTCAGTAGGGGTGCCCAGGTGGCTCAGTCATTAAGCATCTGCCTTCAGCTCAGGTCATGAGCCCAGGTCCTGGGATCGAGCCCCGCATTGGGCTCCTGCTCGGCGGGGAGCCTGCTTCTCCCTCTGCGTCTCCCCCCTGCTCCTGCGCACTGGCGCTCTTTCTCTTTCTGGGTCAAATAAAATCTTAAAACAAAAAAAAAGAGCCCCAGGTAAATGCTCCCTTCCTCCTTCTGCACCTGTGACCTTGCTGTGTGGCCTCTGAGTATGCTTGCCATGCTCCCCTCAAGCTTTGTGAATAATAAATCTTGTTCTTCAAGATTCCTTGATGGTTTTGCTGCGGTGTGTCCTCCAATCACAGTAAGAATGTAGAGAGCAAAATGGAGTCTCTCACGTCAAGCAGGGGCCTGTATCTAGGAGACATCGCGGGACCAGTGTCAGCTGACACCCCAGAACTGATCATGAGCAGAAGCAGAGGAGGTCTGCGGGGACTCCAAACCGATTAAATCTCTTTAAAAAGGGGAGGACTTTGGCAGCAAACTGTTTGTCCGACCACTTCAAAAAGGGCAGCTGCCCCCGAAGGCTCTGCCCCTTGACCTCCGAACAGAACCGAGAGCCTTCCCTGCTTGCACGTCAGAAGCAGTCAGTGCCGAGAGCTGACCCGGACCAGACCGAGGCCTCATCTCAACCACGTGCCCCCAGACTGACTTCGAGTTTGGTTCGTTCACTTCCTGCATCCTTCTGTTATCTTGTTTGTTGTGTGGCTTGTCTTCTGCCCTGCTCTGTGTGCTGAATGAGAAGCCAGGTGTAATTACGTGCTGAAATGATGCTGAGTGTGGAATCCTGAACCTGCTTTATAATTGTGGTTTCACTTTGCTTTATGATTGAATACAGCTGACATTGTGGAAAGATGTGACTCATGTGTGCGCCTTCATAGCAGCGTGCTCATGATAAAGAACCACAGGGCCAGCCTGGCCACAACATTGGCCCCAGTGGTGATGGGGGAAACACCTGTAGGGTTCCCTGTGAGTAAACATGGCCCTCGTGAGGGCCTCAGGTGTTTCTAGGCGAGAATGTCACTATCAATAGGCTGAGAAGACACAACAATTTTAAGTGACTTTGGATGGAATGCTCCCTTGGTGCCCAGAAGAAACAAATGCAAATGATTTCCTAGAGAATGTGCCCTCAAGGTCAGGCCTCAGGCAATTCTCACAGAGAGCACAACAAATTTGGGCTCAGAAACAAAACAAAACAAAACACCCACAAAGAATATTCAAGAAAATAAGTCACCATGAATGAGAGGCAGCAGAAACAACAAATGATAAAAGCAACCCCATGAAGACTTCAGATAGCTGGAGGCGGTTAGTTTGTTGTGTTGTTTTGTGTTTTTTTTAGATTTTATTTATTTATTTATTTGAGAGGGAGCGAGCAACAGAGCACAAGCAGGGGGAGAGGCAGACTCGCGCTGAACAGGGAGCCTGATGTGTGGCTCAATCCTAGGACCCTGGAATCATGACCTGAGCCAAAGGCAGATGCCACCCAGGTGCCCCAGAGGTGGCCATTTTGAGTCAGGCATCCTAAGGTACTTTTTTTTTTTAATTCAGTTAGCAAAAACATATACTACATCATTAGTTTCAGAAGTAGTGTTCAATAATTTGTCAGTTTCGTATAACATCCAGTGCTCATTATATCCCGTGCCCTCCTTAATGCCCATCACCCAGTTACCCCATCTCCCCACTCCACTCCCCTGCAGCAACCCCTCAGTTTGTTTCCTATAGTTAAGAGTCTCTCATGATTTTTCTCCCTCTCTGATGACTTCCCATTCTGACTTCCCTAAGGTACTTTTTTAAAGAGAAATATACTGATTAAATTTACTCTCTAAGTATGTATGTTAAAATTCTATGAGTAATCACCCAAATAATAGAAATTGAATGTATATGCTCCAGACTGATATAGGGCAGAAAAATGGAATGAGAAAAAAACACTTTAATCAATCCAAAAGAAGACAAGAAAAGAGAAGGAAAATATTTCAAAAAAGCAATGCAAATAGATAGTCATCTAATATATGCAAATAAGAAGAGGGCAAAAAGAAATCCAAATAAATCAGTAATCATAAGAAAGGTCAATGGCATGAACTTTTCAGTTAAATGTCATGGACTCTTAGGCTGTATAAAAAATTAAATCCAGATATGTGCTGTTTTCAAAAGATGTGACAAACAGCAGAATAGAGAAAGGTAGAAAGTAAAAGATTGGATAAAATATAAGCAGGTAAAGAAAGGAGGTGGGGGGTGGATTACACAGGTGATGGGGATTCAGGAGCGCTCCTGTTTTGATGAGCACCGGGTGATGTACAGATCACTATATCGTACACCTGAAACTAACATTACGCTGTATGTTAACTAACTAGAATTTAAAAATGTAAAACAAGAAAACAAAAACCAATCAGGTAAATACTAAGCAAGAGAAAGCTGGTGCAGCTGTGTAAATCATAGTCAAAACACAACTAGAATTTTAAAATGTTGCCAGTAAGTCATCACTGAATGATAAAAGGCATGTTCACCAGAAGAATATAATAAGTCTAAATGTATTGTACCTATTAACATAAATACAGCTTCAAAATATTATTGGGTAAAAGCAAAATGAAAAGGAGGAATAGCTATATTTACCATTATTGTGGGAAATCTTAATACATTATTTTCTCAATAATTGCTAGATCAGATGAAAATTTCTAAGGCTGTGGAAGAATTGTCCAACAGTCAGCAAGCTCTAACTACTAGAAATATATAGAACCCTTGGCCCAGCAACTGGAGGAAATACATTGTTTTCCTGAACACAGGAACGCTGTGCAATAAAGAATTTGACCGTGCCAAAGAGAGGTGTGGCTTTCCCCCTTGACTTCTGGGGGTAATCTATATGAGACATCATGGAAGTGTCCTTGTTTAGGGTAGATGTGGCTGGCCACACCCACTGGTCTTAGGTTAAGGGGCTAATCGTGCAAGGAAGACCAATCATGTGATATAGAGTGGGGGGCTTTGGGTCGCACTATAGGAGACTGGATTCAACCATGTGGGCAATCAATCAATCAACCAATCATATGTACATAATGAAGCCCTAATGAAAACCCTAAACACCAAGGCTCAGATGAGCTTCTCTGTTTGGCTGTACTCTTGTTCACACTGTCACAAATCAGTGCCGGGGGGGGTCATGTGTCCTGACCCTGTAAGAGAAGACAACTGGAAGTTTTGCATGAAAACAAAAAATAAAGACCCTTCCCCTCCCACATACTAGGAATTTTAAAATCACCCTAGTAAATAGCTTATGGATCAACATAGATCTAAATGAAGAGTTTTAGTTAGTTTTGTATGTGTGTGTTAAAAAGGGGGAAAAAAATGCAGCATCATACTATTGGTTTGCAAGACCAATTCACAGACATCAGAAAAGATGGAAACTCACTAGCTAGATCTTTAACCCAAACATTTGCATATTTGGTGGATGTGATAGGAAATGCTTAGTAAACGGAGCCAATGATGCTTTTTTTTTTTCCATTTGATCTAGGAATCTCTGTGAGTTATCTTTTCAGCTGTGACATACTTTCAAAACCAAGTACTGGGACATACAGATCAATGGAAAAGAATCGAGAGTCTAAACCCATATATCTATGGTCAGTTGACTTTTGACAAAGGTGCCATGACAATTCAACAGAACCAAGAGTAGTATTTTCAGCAGATGTGCTGAGACAATGGGCTGTTCAGATTCAAAGAATGAAATCGAACTCCTACCACATGGCATGTACAAAAATTACCTCAAAATGGATCAAAGAGCTAAACAAAAGAGCTAAGACTCTAAAGCACAGATGTAAAGCTTCACCAGCTTGGATTAGGCAGTGGTGTTTTGGGTAGGACCCCCAAAGTGCAAACAACCAAAGCAAGCGCTGAGGAATCGGACCTTGGAATCCTGTGCTCCCCACTGGATTTACAGTCTCGCTCGTGTTGTGTTCTCTCTTTGACTCTGTGTTATCCTTTGTAAAATGAGAGTAAACTACCGCAGAGAATTATTTTAAGAATTCAGTGAGATATGTTTATAAAGCATTTAATAGCATGCCTGCACGTCCTAGACATTCAGTAATGACCATCAATCATGAATATTATAAGGATAAGGCTGACCAAGAATCAAAGTGTACCAAGGGTTCATCTGATTATGATGAACCAATTACCCGGTAATTGGTAGATAACTGATCCCAGTGCCACATAATTCTTGTCTGTAGATATGTAAATTCTGTCCTTTTAGTGGTTCAGTTGACTTCCTGTTCTAGTCCTGTGGGGCAAGCAGTTTGCCTCCATTTGCACATTAATTTTTTGATATTCCTAATCTCTAAGTAAGAACACTTTGTTGCATGCTTTAAGTGGTTAAATTGTATGGTATATGAATTTTATCTTAAGCCATTACAAATCTTTTTTCTTTTTCTTTTTTTTTTTTAAGTGCCCCAGCACTAAATTCCATGAAAGGACCCAGGTAGGAACAATTCAAGCCACTCTTCTGGAGCTAGAGGTAGGCCATAAACCCCTGGGAGGAACCCCGAGGTATGGATCCCAGGGCTCGCAAGGGCATCTGGTTGACCCTGCAGGCATGGGCAGAAGGCCAGAGAACACTCCACATGCACGGAGGAGAAAAGAGATACATGGTCAGGTGGATCCCAGTCGAGGTCCCAGACCGAAAGGGACTTATAGAATATCAAGGAAGGCACTTCAAAGTGTGGGGGCTCTCAGGAGCAGGGCTGGGGTAGAGGCTCCTTTGGCCAAGATACCACTACCAAGAAGATGTTTCTTTCACAAATGCTTGCCTTTAGGGTTGAGTTCTATGAATATACGCTAATTAAATTGGAAAGCTGAGTAAGCAAAAAAAGAATGAGATTTTTAAAGTCTATGCTACAAAATCCTGATCTTCTCCAATCCTTTGGGTTGTTAACCTCTAGATAGCTTTCACACTTTGAATTTAATGCCCTGGGGCCTTTCACCTTTGCAAACCCTGTTCCTAGAATCTTTTCTACCCTCGACAGATCAAATTCTCCTAGAAGATGTCCTTCCTGGCCTGTCATATTTCCATTTCCAGGAGGTATTTTACATCTGCTTTGCAAAACAGCAGTCCTGCTACCTTCTCCCTTACCAGCCCAGGGTAAATGTTATTTTCCTGACAAGCCATCTGGACGCCTTCCAACCCCCAAGGCCTGTGCATCAATCTCTATGGAAACCCTTTTCCTTTCCAGACAAGCTTGTCTCCTCCAGTACAAAATGGATTTTGCACTCTTTTGCCCTAATTCAAGTTGCCTCCCCCCACTCCTCCCCAGAGCTGCAATTCTTCTAGTAAGGAGGTGGAGGAAACCATATCTGGCCGGCCAAGCTCATCTCTGCACACCCACGCCGGACTCCTTCCCCCCACCGCTCGCCGCCTTCCTGCCTTTGGTCCTGTTCCTGCCTGCACCTGGGATTCCCACGCCCCCTGCCCCCAGTTTAAACACAAGGCCAAGTTAAAGTACCACCTTTTCCAAAGCACAGTGTGGCTATTTGCCTTTCAGAAGAGTCTAAGAAAAGAAGCACAAAGTTGGCCACGTGTTTGTAAAGATTTCCAGCTTTAGCCAGTGTACCAGTCTGGCAGGTAGAAGTCCAAAGGAACCCAGCTTTGTACCCAGCCAGCAGCTGATCTACTAAGCAGGCTATTCCAAATAATAATAATTTTTTTTAAAAAACCCAAAATTATACTTTTTTTTAAAAAAAGGCACAAATTTTGTGTTTTGAAAATTCCTACAGGTAGAACTCCAGGGGCCTTGAGCATTTTGGGCCCATGGGCCTCCTACCATCATAATGGCTCTTCGTGGGCCCTACAGTTTTCCTTTCTTTCGTTTTTGTGTGTGT